TACTGTATGTATGTCTTATCGGCGTTAGATCTTAAACAAGTAAAAAATGTCTTTTAATGCCTCGGGGAACATTTGCAATGATGATGATGCAACCAAGCGTCGCCAAGTATAGAAACCGGTAAATTCGCACAGTAAACCATTGAAAAACGTTGCAGTTTATTTTGTTGGTTTCTTGACTAATGATAAACATTTTATTCCCGTCGGCTACACGATGTCGACAATTTTCCAACTCGGACGTGTATTTATGCACGACACCTGCAAGTTTTCCACTTTCTATACTAATTATGATATACGCTCACCATCAGTTTGACTTTTATCCTTTTATTGAAGTCTACTTTGTGATCTACATTAAAGCCAGTAATGATCTATGTTTAGTTTTTTTTTTATTTATTAGAAATTTTAATTTCAAGTTTAAGTTTTTAGGTTTCGAAATTAGTGATAAAATTAAAAAAGCTTTTTACAATTATGCTTTCATAAAATGAACTTTCTACTTTCGAAGACTTCTTCAAGGAATGTCTAATTAGAAGTTAGAATGCGCTGAAATTGCACGCACAGTACTCTTTAATAACATGCTCAGTCATTCTGGGTTATTATCTCAAAGAGTAGCACGTTTCGTACATGTCCGTGATGAAAATAAAATTTCTTTTGATGATTTTAAAGCATCAAAGATAAAGCGAACGTTTTAAAATTCATTATCAAGAAATTTTCTTTAAGAATAATTTTTGTTATTACATCAACTATTTTATTACTTAAAATTTTTAAAAAGAACAGTTACCTTAATTGCTAATTTAAGTATTTGTGGTTTCTATTTATGATTATTGTCTTTCGTAATCTTATTCAATATTAAATATTACAGTTACTTATCTTAATAACAATCTATGTCATCAAGTTCACGCTTTAACAAGTGAAAAAACTGTCAATTCCTGTTCGTGCAAGTGTTAAAGTGGTCATTATCAGATCAAAAAGTCCTGATATCGGTCTCAACCTACGACATAATAGAGCAATATAGTACGGATCGCCCTACAGGGTTCGCTTTAGTAACATGATAAGGGCCCCGGAGATAAGTATCGCAACATGTGTCTGGCGATTCTCCCTGTCTGGGGGCGATAATTCCCCGCATTAGGCAAACTAATGCCCTTAATCGCGATTCACTTCGGATAAAGTGGGCGGCCGGGGGCATTTCAAAATCGACCGGTTCAATTCGTTCCTGCTACTTTTCTCCAACGTGAAACAATTTAACCGATCTAAAGGAAATAGATAACATTGAGGATACGATGAGATATCAATAAGTATAGAAGGGGAGAATGTTTTCGTTTTTGGGGTTGGTGATGGATTAGTTTTCGAATGTGAGAGGATTATCACCCAGATGTTTTTATCATTATCGTTTATAATTAAGTTTTACTGATTATTAGTGATTTATGATTTATTAATAAAGAAGAATTTAATGGAAATTGTTTATTTATATTTATTTTCAGTATGTTACATGAATATTTTGATTGATGTTTTATCATTATGTAGTTCAAAGTACTAGTATGAAGCAGATAATTTCGATTATTACGATATTTGTGATTAATGGTGCGGAAAGAGATATGTACTTTGCATTTCAAATGGAGTTTAAATTCATGCTTAGTAATTACATAAAATGCCTACTGTTTAATACGTTATGAAATTTTCAATCTTTTTAAACGCGATTATTTTTTTGTTGTTGTATTCAAATCCCTGATTTAAGTCAGTTAGTTTAGAAAAACGTGAAATTTCGTCAACTAAACTTCCTCTGGTAACCCTTTGTCTCATTTTTCGCCAATTTTTCATTCCGGTTCGGGTAAATCCGTCACGTCACGCTTTTCGCTTTCCTCTTTTCAGTCGAAATCTTCACGGTCGGGACGCGCTTTCCTGCTACTAACGGTTATCCTCCGTCCGTTAAAAACATCAATTAAAACCGGCTGCGTACCCTATATTTCACGGCGCGTTTCACACCTATATATCCACGACCCAGATTACGGCCGCTTTTTTTACTCTCGGTACTTTTTAATCAAATTTCGTAGTCGAGCGTTTATCAAAATACGCCGCGCACAAAAACCACGAATTCCGTGACAAAAACTTTATCCGGCATATTAAAAATGGTATTTTAAATCGACCTCTCGAGCTGGGCGCCGACAGAAAAACGAGATCCATTCAACGACACGGTCCATAAAAATTGCTTCGATCTCGTTTCCGAGAATTGTCTCTAATACTCCGTATACATTAGATTTATCCGGGAGTTGGTTGCATATTTGCGGTAAACCAACCATAATCGATCTATGTAGCTACCGGTTTTGTATAAAATTAGAAAATTATTATTCCGTTTTGGAATTTTATAATGGATTAATTTTTTAACCGTGCGATAACTGCAACAAAACTCTCAGTATGAAATTTTTACCCTTGTTTTTCCACCTACTCTACAACCCGATATCTTCGTTGTCTGAGAAAGTCTGATCTTTTCTTTATATAAATCTCAGTTTTGTCCAGTCTAAACACATTTTGAGCTATCTAAATCCGGGTATCGTTCGATCAATATCTATCGATGTCGGTCAAAAAAACAGGCCTAATAAACAACCCCACAAATAGAATCGGTAGATTGACCTTCCTTAATACAACTCTTTTATTTGGTAGGAACCAAAAACTAAAGCAGTAACAATCATGTAGGACATTTTCTGCTTTATGCAGCCGTATATAACTTTAGTAGACAACATAGTTGCATAAGCATGATGTTATTGATAGTTATGATGCTGAAACTATTTACATACGGCAATTATATACGGTTTTCGCAATTTTTGTGAGAGAAAGTGCTTGTGCAATCATGGCACCGATCAAACTGATATAGCAGTGCATAGAGCGGAAAATTTCCTGTAGATTCTATATGACCTCGGAGATTTTTCCGTATCATATAAGAAAGTTATGACGCCGTAAACATTTACATACGACAAGTATACACGGTTTTTGCTGTTTTTGGGGGATAATGCTTGTACAACCATGTGATCTACTAAAGTTATATACCACTGCATAGAACAGAAAATTTCCTATGCATTCTATATGACCTCGGAGTTTTGTTCGTATTATCCTAAAAAAATATTACGCCGTAAACATTTACATACGGCAAATATACACGGTTTTTGCAGTTTTTGGGGGGGAAATGCTTGTAGAATCATGTGATCTACTAAAGTTATATACCACTGCATAGAGCAGAAAATTTCCTATATACGCTGTATGGTCACGGGGTGTTGTCCGTATCATATAACAGAGTTATGATGCTGTAAACATTAACATATGGTAATTATATGCGGTTTTTGAGTTTATGAAGGGGAAATGCTTGAGCAACCATGCGATCTACTAATGTTATATACCACTGCATAAAGTAGACAATTTCCTATAGAGCCTAAAGGATCTTGGAGTTTAGTCAATATCATATAAGAAATTTATGATGTCAAAACTGTTGCATAGGGTAACAATACGCGGCTTTTCTAATTTTTAGGAAAAAAATGCTTGTGCAACCATACGATTTACTAAAGTTATATACCACTGCATGGAGCGGAAAATTTCTTGTAGATTCTATATGACCTCGGAGTTTTTTCCCTATCATATAAGAGAGTTATGACGTCGTAAACATATACATACGGTAATTATACATGGTTTTTGCAACTTTTGGGAGGGAAATGCTTGTGGAACTAAGAGATATACTAAAGCTATATACCACTGCATAGATAGGAAAATTTTCCTATAGATTCTATATGATCTCGGAGTTTTGTTCGTAGCATATCAAAAAGTTATGACGCCGTAAAAATTTACATACGCCAAATATACACGGTTTTTGCAGTTTTTGGGGTAGAAATGCTTGTACAACCATGCGGTCTACTAAAGCTATATAGCACTGCATAGAGCGGAAAATTTCCAATAGATTCTATATGATCTCGGAGTTTTGTCCGTATCATATAAGACAGTTATGACGCCATAAACGTTAACATATGATAATAGTTTTGGCCTATTTTTGGGGGGAATGCTTGTACAACGATGCGACCTACTACAGTTATATACCACTGCATAGAGCAGAAAATTTCCTATGGATTCTAAAGGATCTCGGAGTTTAGTCAATATCATATAAGAAAGTTATGACGCCGTAAACTGTTGCATAGGGTAACTATAAGCGGCTTTTCAAGTTTTTGGTGGCAAAATGCTTGTGCAACCATGCGATCTACTGAAGTTATATACCACTGCATAGAGCAGAAAATTTCCTATACATTCTATATGGTCATGGAGTTTTGTCTGTATGATATAAGAAAGTTATTAACCCGAAATTGATATAATGCGCTCCAAAAACGCGTCTTTAAGGATGTTTTTACAAAAAGAAATCTTTTAAAAACTCGTATTCAATTTTGTATTATGCGTCGATAGAAAGAGCAGAAAGATTGTTATATGATTTGTACTTCTTTAATTGAATACTCCTTGAGGTGTATTCGATACATGTTCTTTATTTTTTCCGCTGTTAATATCATGTTATTGACAGCACAAAACTTTTCCTGTAATTTTCCCTCTAATTTAAAAATTGCCAATTTTATCAAATCATCGTTTAAATTACATTTCGATTTGGAAATATCCATCTGGAAATAAAAAAATACAAGCGTTGCCGATTTAAAATGTAACAAAAACATTCCCTTCGATAATCTACATTAACTTAACCGACGAACGTTGGCAGTTTATCACGAGTTGACAGACCGCAGGGCAGCGTTGGCGGTCACGTGTCCGCCACGTGCGCGCGGCTTGTCCACCGACACAAAAAGGGGCCCATCAAAAATTGTTTAATGGGTTATTTCGATAATAAACGACCCAAGCCTCTTCTTCACTTCTCGAACCCTCTTTACTAAATTTAATCAAATTGTTGACCCAACACAAATTTGAAAAAGAATACTTTATTACTTTTACTAATCAGATTTGTTTTAATAATTCTTTTTAATGATTTCTTTCAGGTCATGGTGGCGTAAATCAATTGGGTGGTGTCTTTGTTAATGGTAGGCCCTTACCAGACGTAGTGAGACAAAGGATAGTTGAATTGGCCCACAATGGCGTTAGACCCTGTGATATTTCGAGACAGCTAAGGGTGTCCCATGGCTGTGTCTCCAAGATTTTGTCCAGGTAAGAAAAACAAAAGTTTTAAATGAATCATTGACCACAAGAATATCTAAATGGTTGTTATTGAACTGTTGTATACTGGTCTTTATGAGCCTGCTTCCCTTGTGCCATACCAGATGCCGACATTAGATGTAGATCGAATATAGATAACTCCTTACGCGGTCGTATGACGTAAGTCTCGATCCTAATGTAATTATTGTACTCCCGGCGTTATCTCCTGAGGCGTATCTCTCATTGTTAACCGCGAGCGCTGTTTAATATCTGGCAGACAGCTCGACCGTTCAGAAAATACAAACAATAACCGTCGGATCTAATTGCGGCCAGGTCTTTGTTTGAATTTTAACAGCGGGCCACTAATTAAGGACGAAGACGGTGCTAATCTGCTTAAGGCCGCACAGGTGGAATCACGAACTTGAAAGTTTTTCTTTCGATAAGTAAATTGACCACGTTGACGTTCTGACAAAGAAATTGCTTTTCTGGTGTTCAATTTTGAACAAAGCCAAAAAATACAATTGAGTATATAACCAGAAACTTTGCGAATAAAAGAGTCTTCCACCTGAAAATCTTTTGTGGGTAATAGGCTCAAAAGAACATTTTGTGTATTGTTAAAGTGGCACGATTGTTAATAAACGGATTTGAAGTGAATGATAAATGATAACTTAATGTTATTATTAAAAAAAATCTTAAAATTATAAATACTTAAATAGAATTATACAAAAGCATCCATTGATAACTCAGTTCCGAAGAAGCCGTTAAAATTAAAATTCCTGAAAAGGCTTCTCCTTGGGAGTTCTTCCCTCCTTCTCTTATTTCTTCTTCTTCCATCGTAAATTGGTCGGCTTCTTGTGTTCACACCTCCGCGGTCGAAGCCAACACTTTGCTTTATAACCGCGCCGCTAATTGCCTCCTGAAAATATCCCTGAATGGTTGTCTCTGTGTCATGTAGCCCACCCGAATGTCACCACGTGTTCACTGAAACTCTTTTAACAGATGCACATTTTAGTAGTCACATAGTATTTACATTTTAACGCTTTGAATTTCGCGAAGAGAACGGTTTGGTCGTTCGCCGGATCACCGGAAACCGACCATTACCCATCGCTAGTACAATTACTTCCGCGACCTCCTCGACATTCTGCGATGGCCATCATAGCCTCCATTCCGATACGTACATAATAAGCTGACGTTCTAACGACTTAATTGGACAGCGCGTTTTTGAAACGTTGCTATATCCGCGTTTAGATGGTAATTTTGTGTTGATGGTTTGCAAAGATACAAGAACCGTTTTAGGGTTCACCTAGAATTATCTTTTGCGGTCACAAATGTCACGATTTTGGTATGCGTTTGATAACATATCATTCATCTAAAGATACACAATGTTATTATTAAGATTGGTTTCGTTTTACAAAGTGAATGGATTTAAATAATTTTCTTTGCTTTTTTTATGAAGAATAAATAAAACATTAAGTTTTAATATAGCATGACATAATGACAGTTATATGTATTATGAATCTCAATTCGAGTTTGGTAGCATTAGTAAATTAGCTATTCCGGGTGTACGATTACACAAACAAACAAAGCTCTCGAAAATGTGGCCCTTTGGGGGAGCCCCACAATATAATCTCGCGAGACTCGCGAATGGCATCGACGGCACCCTCTCCTCTCTCTAATACGCCGTAACAAAATTACCGCAATAATATGATCCGGTACTACCGACAACGGTTCGTTCTCTGTGCACCGTTTCGGTCCTAACGAATTTATACCGGCTACACAAAGGGGGAAAGGGGAACGACACGAACTGTTCGAATATTGGCCGTAATGGAATGATATGATTTATTAATTAGAGGGAACGCCACGACCGCATTTTAATTGGACTTCGGTTTTTGACATTAGTCGTGTTGAGCACGTTTTCAATCCCTCTTAATTCATGATAGTATTTTATAATATATAAATAATAATATATAATAATATATGCATACATTATGAAAAGAAAAAATAATATACATTATATTATATGGAAAAATGTGTAACACCAAATCCTTCGAAAGACTTGAAAGATGTAACCCTTCACAATGTCTAAATTGTTGATAAACTACACACCAACACTAAACGAATATCTGCTTAACTTTATGTCTTTATGGCTATGCTAGCTCGGACATTAGGAAGATGGTATTAACATGTCGGCTCATTCATCCAGACAAGTTAGAGAGTTTACAAATCATAATTATTGGAATCGATGTGTTGGTGTTCCAAAACCATTTCAGGCAACATCAATTAAATGATTCGAAACACGAATACTACAAATAATTTTTTTTGCTAAGTGTTTATTACCAAAATGCTCATGGATCATTTATTTGTATATTGGTATACATCTTAACACATATATTAGTTATCACTGAAACTTACCTGAATAAATCGGTTTATAAAACGGAATTATCGTCCCTCAAATAATAATAATACTACAAGTGGCAATAAGTTAATACTGAATTTGATTACTATTACAATGAATTTAGAAAATTGTGGAAGCTTGTCAAGACTTAGGTGAAAGTTTGTCACTAGAGATATGTTGACAATGCACATTACGTAGCATCCACTATACAGGGCTTCCCAAAACTCCCGGGACGGAGCTATAAGTTTTGAACGAGTGAAGAAAAAATTTGGGGATCTCTAAAGAGTTATAAAAACTACATTCTTAGATAGCTTAGAATTTCCATGCAATGTGGAGCTTTTTTAGGGGATGACCACCCTTACATTTTTAAATAGCAACCCCTCTCAAGTTTTACCTTATTTTAAAGGTAATGAAAAAAGGAACACAACCCCATAAACCAAAACCCGATATCTCAATTCTTCCAAAAATTATAAGGGGCTGACTACCAAATGGGAAACTAAAATGTTTTCATGTTTTTTTTTTGCACGTTTATTACGATTTTTATAACAAATATTCAAATTGTCGACCTTCTTCGGCCTCGCAATGACTCAAACGTCCATAAATGGAATTTTGAATCATCAGGAGCATATCCTAAGTGATATTGGTGGTTTCTTCAAGTATACGATTTTCCAAATCATTTATTGATTCTAGTTTTGTTGCATACACTCTACTTTTCAGAAACACCCAAAAGAAAAAATCGAGTGGTGTTAGATCAGGAGATCGTGGTGGTCACTCAATTTCGCCTCTTCTCCCAATCCAACGGTTTATAAACGTGCAGCTTAAAATGTCTCTGACTGCGCGACGAAAATGTGGAGGAGCACCATCTTGTTGGAACCACTTATTGTCAATATCATTAGGGCATACGCCACGTACACTTGGAAACACATGATTTTCTAACAGTTGCAGTTATCTGTTTCGCGCAAAAACTGACCGAAAAAGAAAGAATCACTCTATTAATGAATCACTAGGGATATGCTCCTGATGGTTCGAAATACCATTTATGAGCGTTTGGGTCATTGCGAGACCGAAGAAGGTCGACAATTTGAATATTTGTTATAAAAATCGTAATAAACGTGCAAACAAACATGAAAACATTTTATTTTCCCATTTGGTAGTCAACCCCACATAATTCTTGAAAAAATTAAGATATCGGGTTTTGGTTTATGGAGTTGTGTTTCTTTTTTCATTACCTTTAAAATAAGGTGAAACTCGACAGGGGTAGCTATTTAAAAATGTAGGGATGGTCATCTCCTAAAAAAACTCAACATTGCATGGAAGTTCTAAACTATCTCAGAAAGTAGCTTTTATGACTCTTTAGTTCAAATTTTTTTCTTCACTCGTTCAAAATTTATAGCTCCGTCCCGGGAGTTTTGGGAAACCCAGTATAAGGTGTATTGTTGCAAACAGAGTAGGAAGCTTATCCAATCGTCCTACTGTACTTTTTGTGTCTAAGTTAAGTGATATTACGGTTGAGGATGATTTGAAAGCTTTGAGGAGATTGTTAAATAAAAACACGATTGGTAATGATTTCCTTCCATATTTTATGGTGGTAGATGGCAGATTTATCCTTGCGAAGCTATTACATAAAATAATAGGACGTTCTAAGTTTAAAAAATTATAGAAATGTGCCCGAAAAGGGAGAGAGCAATGATATAAATAATTATCACCCCACTTGCTATTTTTTCCAACTTCAACAAGATTTATGCTCATTGAATATCTTTCTAGTAATATGGTTAATTAAGATGAGAGGAGTCAATTGTTTGCAATTAATACTAATTTTTTGAAGGTTAGATAGAATATTTTTTCTTTTCCTAGAAGATGTGTTGACTTCACGTGTGCTTTAAAGCTCTAATCTACGTATATAGATTAAAGCTATGAATTTGCTATCTATGGAGGTAACTTCTATCTTCTTTTGGCACACCCGGCGTTGGTATCATCTGTAACTCGAGTTGTCGCATCTTCTTCAGAGACTGTTACTGCCTCCGCTTCTCAGGGCCTAGGATTTATTTCGAGAACATCCAAACTTAGTTTAGTAAATAACTAATCTGATGCCTAAGTTATTTCATTATACTATATCCTAATAAAAACAACCAAACAACCACAAAGTATTTATAAAGTTGGATATTATTGTATATTATCAATCTGTATCTGATCTTGTTTTAACCATGTCTTTTGAAAATGTTAATAAGTATAAAGGGCTTTATTTTTTCTTGGCCCAGCTCCTCTGCTCTTTAAATATACTAATTTTAAGTGTTGACAATTATTTTCTTTTTCATTTATTTACTTATTTACAGAAACTTTGAAGGTCTAACTTGAGCTTAATTGAAAATAATACATATTGGAATTTCTTTATTAATGATAGTTCACAAAAAGTTGGAACTAATCAGCTCTTGTTTTGAACATTTTATATGAAAGATATCTGAGACTCAAAGTATTCGAATTCCTTGAACTCCTCAAGATCATTATAAGTGCAAGAAATCGTGTTTATATTACCTAATCATAAGAAATAATTTATCATATAAAGTCCTATGACCATCAACAAATGGCTATTACCACAAGTAGAAAATGTCACATACCT